CTCTCTCTCTCTCTCTCTCTCTCTCTCTCTCTCTCTCTCTCTCTCTCGTCTCTTCTCTTTCTCATTATTGGCAAAATATTCTGGCATGCAAAAGAAATCAATTACGATGAAATTTCTTCGATGCGCTTTACAACCGATGAGAAATGAGATTCTTAAGCGTCGATAAGTGATTGGAAATTCAAGAATTCGATGCACCTTTGAATTGGTGATTTCTTGATTGTCAAACGCGTATGGTCAATCGAACATCCTGCAACACGTGTGCGTCGCGCATCTCTCAAGTGCACTCTCAGCACCCTCGCATAATAACGTACATATGAATATGTCGCTGGCTTTTGCAGCTCGCATTTCGCCGCGATATTTACACGAGCGGAATATGCGAGCGATATACATAATTACATTCCTCTCTCTGTACTTCTATATCGCTCATGCGGAAGATACCTGCCTAGTGATGTATACAAGTTGGCCCGATTTCACATCTACAGATCAACGCAAAAGTCATGCGTTATTATTAAAGCCCAGGCGATAGCACGTTACATTTTTATTTATTTCCAGTTTAGTTTTTATATTATTGTATTTATATCGTTTCGTGTTACGTCTACATTTAAATTTTCATTTTCTTCTGAAATAGAAATGTAACATAATGCTCCAATTTGCAAATTTTTATTTTAAATATTAATTTATTGAAGATTTGAATCCAAATTTTTTATTTTTTTTTTTCAATAAAATTGATGTATTGTATTTAGTGATAAAATATTTAATTACAATTTGTTGCCAATTTATTTCAGTTTATCAAATTTATCGGATGAAAACTGCTTTTTGTGCTTCATCCTGTAGCACGAATTACAGTTCTTTGTAACGCATTCGCGCATTGTAACGTACTCACGAGGGTGCATATATTCGGACTGCAAACAGTGGCATCCCTTAACAGCGCTTTATCGCGTCAATCCCCTCACCTGCCGATCTTGAAAAGACGATAAAATTAAAAGCTCGAGCTAACAAAAAAGCACGATTCACAGAGATTTAACATATCTTTGCTCTGTTCGTTTCCATTTTTGTTTCGCCGAGAGAGAAAGATTTAACAAGATTTCTTTTCTATACGAAATCTTTGAAGTTGAGTTTCTTAATAATAATAAAAAGATTTCTTAAAAACTGAGATTTTTCAGAGATGTTAAGACTTAGACGTTCCACGTTCCACTTTATATTTAGATATATGTGAACTCCTAAGTGAAATTGGTCATTTTACTCGTAAAACAGAAAATGGAAGTGGATAAGATAAAGTAGAACAAAAATCACTGTCGTTGCGATTTTTTTGAGCGCACGAAATTACTTCATGCATCGCTCTGCGGTAACCAAAAAGTCATTTCTCTTTGGGGGCTGGAAGACCCCTGGTTTTCAGACATCACGCTGGGTAATCGGTAAGTCATCTCCGGCCGACGGCATTGAGTTAAAACAACAAAAGGGAGGCGGATTCGTGTTTGTCCTCGGGCTACCACTCAGCAGGGTCAACACGGGACAATTAACAGCCCTAATCATAATTTGACATTAGTTGATCCCGGTATTCGCAGGTTCATCATCGTGCGGCGGCGAGCTCTTTACACGCAACATTCGCACTCTCGTCGTTAATCCTCTACTAAAACCCGAAACGACCTACGAGTCTCGTACGAGTCGTATTATCGACGCACAATAGTGTTCTCATTAAACAGATATTTCTACTTCAATAACGCGGTCGATTATTCGAGTCGCTTTATTTTCGATGAAAATTCTATGCATTCTGTGCATTCTGTGCAGCACACAAATAAGTATCCTTATACTTCGATAAAATATTATTTTTTTATTCACTTAATTTATTTAGGACAGGATATTTTATTCCTCCCTTTCCTTTTCCTTCGTTCCTTCGTGATTTTTCCTCGGATTCGCGCCGTAGAGTCATGTTTCATTACGTAGCGGTCGCGGTTCGCCTAAAAGAAAAATGTGTGTGCAGACGTGCACCGCTCGTTCGTGCCACATCCTAACGAACCCCAATCGAGAGAATCACCCACCCGCTCGAGGCTGTGTAAAGCCACCAACCGGATAATCCAGGGCGACGTCGTTGGTGTCGAGTCAAATTGCCCGGAGGAGGCTGTTGTACCTAGCGAGGGGGCAGGCGGTGGCCTGCGTCGTTTTACGTCAACCCCCGATGTACTCGCG